ATCTGACACGATACGAGAATATGATACGAGAAAAAGTCTTCAGAGGCCAGCACTGAGACGGACCGTCACATCCCAGTCAAGCGACACCATTAGTACGGTTCCGGTTCGCTCCATATCGAAAGTAACTGCACAGAGTGCTAGTGAATACCTGTTTCAGTGACACGTTCCCCATAAGTATGCCCAAATATTACTCATATGGATACATATTACGCAATTCTCAGTGAATGCATAACCTTTCAAAACTATTTCACAGCTTATTGCACCACACTTCTCTTTGCCCAATAGTCTACTGCTCTATCGTTCTGAGTCCATACACTGTCAGAGGCACAGTTCATTAACGCATTTTCCTATTCATTATAGTAATATTAATTACAGTATAAATTATCAACAGGTAAACTGCAGACGATGAGGATATTCAACCGGTCGAAGAGGTAACGGAGCTAGTCCCACCGCTGCCATGATCGATGTTGATGTTGCTGATGTAGCGCAGCTTCAGCTGTAGCGATGGACGCAACTGAGTGATTATGCGGTCGGTTTCGGAGCGGATGCTATCGCCAACGTACATATATTTCATGTGGTAGCACAGGTCAACGATTGTGTCTTCATACTGTAGCACAGTGCAGTTCTTGTCGACGTTAAGCAGCATCTCATAAACGTCGCAGGCTATCTGAAAAAAAGTAATAAACATGTCAAAACAATTCGAATCGTTCCGTTAAAGCATCCGAGCTGCATTTAAATTACGACATTTAGCTAGCGTGGAAGAAACAACATCGCGTACATAATTATCCGCTTAAATAATATTCTTGGGATTTTAAACTAATAGAATGTGTTGAAGTTTCGAACGGAAGGTTCGAGATTCAACCACCTTTAATGTTAAGAACGAGTTCTAAAATATTTTACTCCTGACTTCGCCTCTCTGAACAGAGAATAAACACCTACGGCTGGCATAACAGAAAACACGTTTTGCTTTTTTTTCGTTTTAACCAACATGTTACATGTTGTCATGAATGCACAAGAAATAACAGAAAAATGGAAACAGAATAACTAATTCAGTTGTCGCTTAGCGGTTGCAAGCTAGGTATGGACCCGGTAGTACTGAATGCGTTCCATGCAGACGGGAAGGACGTGATGACTGCGCGAAGTCTGACCTACCTTATAAGTAAAACTAGGGTTACCGCAGATGGCAGAGTGTCGGACTCACAGCCGATAGGTCTTGGTCTTAGGATCGAGCCCCAGTTACGTTACTCGCCCCTTTTCCTTCTCAGGTTGATGAACGACTGATGACTACTCTGTGAAGAGAAAACAAGCGACTACAAACTAGGCTTGCCACATAGCTGCAGTCTAATCTGCCTTTAAAATAAGGCACTGCTCAATTATGGCAAAGAAATGGAGATCAGCGACCTATCACTGACTACATGAAAAGAAGGACGCCAAAACAACCCAATCAAAAAATTGTAAGACATTTCTTAGGTTACAAGCATTCGTTTCCATTTTGCCATGACCTTAAAAGTAATTTATCATCACGAGATACAAAGCTACTGAAGACCTTGTTCAAAATTATAGTCATCGTGCACTAATGAAATGCAGTCCAATTTCATTGCCTATATTCCTTAAGAACTTCAGTCGGAAGTCATCGGTCGTAATATCAACATTTCTACAAAAAGAATTATCAATTGTCTTAAAGTACTTGATTACTGAAGCTCTGATCAAGAGACTTACATCCACAGCAAACTTTGTTCTTTCTTGATGAAACCTTTGCATAAATGGTGCAATTAAATGACAAACGTAAATCAGCTGTTCTTCGGTTTTAACTTGCTGTTTCCAACGTTCCCGAAGTACTCTGAAAACAAACCAGTAGACAGATATCATAAATTAGTACCATAATATTCAACAGTGAAAATTGTTTGACAGATCATAATATCGAAAAGTTGTCGATGATGTAAAAAATCCAAGAAAAACGAACTAGCAAAATAGGCAAGACTCTTTAATACAGTTGCTTAACAGTGCAGGCATATGTAATTCTCCGTATGGTGACAAAGTGAATTATATCCTTAAGTTTATGATAAAACGGTAACCCTGGTTGAACGCTTGCTGTCTGAACTGAATTACAAAAGAAGGCATACGGTTAATAGCCTGATGGAGGAGGGGGCAGTGGAGCAATGGGTTAATAATTTGCTTTGCATTATAAACGCACTGGATTCAAACCCAACGCGTGACGTAAATTTTCACTTAACGGCTATTTCCCTTGAGTAATGAATACACTGTATGCCGTTTCGTGCAGCCAGCCGTAAAATAATTAACATGTCCATAGTCTGTGAATAAAAGAGACAACAAAGTGCTTTGGTAAGGTCATGTCAAAACGTGTGATACTTTCGGCCTTGCCGTCCGACAGGTGTGCTTTCCCACGCAATTCGCCTTCGCCCATTTAACTGCTGACTGAAAATCAGCACAATTTATGAAATTAAGTCTGCAACATGAACGTGACATTTAGAACAAGCGGGAAGTTTCATCTGGCGGCGTTTGACAAGTGAAACATTTCAACTTGAACATCTGTCCATTCGAGCAAACGTTTTCAGTTTTAGGCAACTGACGGTCTTAGAACCGTCTTATAGACTACAAAATGATAAACTATATGTACTATCTATTATTCTCTGATGACGATCGATGCCAGTTCGATTGAAACATCGGATCAGTTGTAAATAAAACATTTTATTCAAGCCATCTACGGCGCAGGATTAGAATGAATTAAGAGAAATTATAACTCGCCATTATAATTACCGTACAAAGTCATCCGCCTCTAAACTAAACGCACAACTACATGCCACAGGCTGTGCGAATGATGTTCATACAAATCAACAAGGTACAGACAAGAAAGATTGAGGCAATGGCAACGACCGTGACGACAACGGTAATGAAAATTTTCATATTAACGGCACCGATGAGAAAGACAACAAAGATGGTGGTGTCGATTATGATTTTTACTTTCCTTCAAATAAGATTTTATCTACGAAAGCAAAAGACATATCGAAAGTCAGATGTCCGATTTATAGCATCCGTAACTTCAATAACAGTTTCTGAATATTTTGCCTAAGCAAAATAACTGGTTGGTGTAAAAAATTGTTACATCTCAACTAAAATAACGCGAAACAGATATAAAATATCAGATATGAACAGAGCAACTTCATGATTTTGACCAATGACGTCAAGTGCAATAGATAAATATATTTAATCAAAAAAAAGAATCGATATGACACGAAACATGGACAATAAAACCTAGCGAAACAATCATACATGAGGCGGAACTATGTGAAATGATGGTAGTGACGTTTTACTTAAGAGTTGAGAATGCTTCGTTGTCGACACAAAAAAAGTCCCCAGTACCAAAGAATATTACGGTGGTGGCAAAGAAATATGTCAATTATTAAGCAAAATTTTACCGACCATATTTCGCATTCGTCTTAGCAAATCAGGTACCAAGAAATTATAGCGTGATTAGTTCAGAATGATCAGAAACTTCAAATAACTCATAGCCCAACCAACCAGCGCAACTGCATTAGAAATAAGGTAAAGAAAATGATAGCAAAAACAGTAAATATTGAACAGGAGCAGAAAACTCATATACGCGAGGAATACAATCATATGAAAATGCGTGATGACAAGAGTAACGTTCAGGTCAGTCTGAAGACATGTGAGAACGTTCGCTGAGAAACGATTGACAGGCCTGAGTTCCTTGTTCGCGGGAATAGATAAATTATCCTGATAACTACAGAAAAAACTCATGTAGCACGGTAAGCTGGCGTGAGAATATTTACCAGCAGATATTTGGCATTACTTGGAGCGTGTAGATGCTGATGAACTGTCATTTAAATCTACAATAATTTACATTAATTACGTATCGTTGATGAAAGATAGTTGCGCCAACCATTACCAAGTCTTTTGACCATGATAGGGCGAAGATGCCCTGTATTGTTTAACCGTTGTTGTGTACCCGCGTTTCGCAGCGTCTAGTCAAAATCAGAAACATAAGCAAACAAGTTACAACGTGAGAAAGAACCTATTTATGAAGCAGTGGCCGTCATTAGCATAACTTTCTTGCTGGCAGACTGGGAATAGCATCAGGCACTAATTCACATCTACTGGAAAAATTCGCTGTTCTGAAGCTACGATTGAAATAAATATTTCACAATCCATGTCAGGCCTTTGGAGATACAGTAGCTGTTCAGCTGCAAAAGGCCAGAAGTATCTCACCATAATTTTCATTATTAAAATCATAATTAAACAAGGTGACCATAATTATTCATTAACCTCTACCCGCACCAAGAATTATAGAAACAACTTTGGAAAACATTTCTTTATCTAATGCTTCATACACTAACGTCTGTCCTTCCAGTGTGTTCATTCGCATGAATCGCGTTTTCAGTGACGGGTGCAACAACCCTAATTCGTTTCAGTTCTGCATCTAAAACAATAATTACAATATTATATATATATAATACTGTATATTAT